AAAAAAAAAAATATATATACCTCAGCTTCCAGAAAGCACTAGCTACATGGAGTTTTGTTTACCCTTCCATCTTGTAGTCACTATCCTTACCTCTGTCCCAGACAGTTACTCTGGGTGTAGCTCACAGAAAGAAGATAATTGGTGAAAATTGGCTCACCTGTTAGTTGTCTCCAGGAAGGCATTGGCTGTTGTACATCACGGGTAGAGAGCATAACTCTCAGATCTGGTGAGCTGGAGGTTTTTAGAATTTTAGCTAAAGCAATAGAACCTTTCTTCAAAAGTCAAAATAGCTTTGGCTCTTATAGTCATTCATCAAACATGTACTGAGCACCTATTATGTACCAGGCACTGAGCTAACTAGGGACTAGAGACACAGTGGTGGACAAGGCAGATAAAGCCCTTGCTTCTAAGCTGTCTTCTCTGGGAGGCCCTTCCTGGATACCACCATGCTGGAAACTTCAGCCCTCTCTCAAGCCCTCCCCTTGCCACTCTGTACTTGGTCTCCATGGGTCTTGTCACCATTTAATGGACTGCATATTTTATTTTTACTTCTGTTTTCTGCCTTCTTCCTTGACTAGCATATAAATGTCATAGGGAAGGTGTCATTGTTTTGTCCACTGTCTACTACTATATCCCTGACACCTAAAATAATCTCTGATACAGAGTAGGCACTTAGTAAATATCTGCTAAGCAAATGCATGGGTGTAAAGTGAATCATACATGTAATACATACATATATGTATGTACATATATAAATATTTCATTGTAAATATGATAAGTGCTTTGGAAAATAAGTATGAAATCCTAGGGGCTGCATGGTTGGCAGCTGGGAAAGACTTGCCTGAAAACGTGATGTTTAAACTGAGTCTTAAAGGACGAGTGGATGTGGGGCAAGATGGGGAATGGGGATCTGGGGAAGAGAGAGGGAGCGTCCTCAGCAGAAAAACAGCATGTGCAAAGGTCCCAAGGCAGAAAGAAGGCCAGTATCTGGAATGAACTGAGAGAGGGGGAGCGGGGCGGGGGGGGAATGCAGCAAGGAGGCAGTTCAAGGAAGCCCTTGGAGGCCCTTCCATTTGGATCTTATTCCAAAGACCACAGGGAATCCCAGAAAGGATTTAAGCAAAGAGGTGTCTGTCAGATTTATATTTCAAAAAGGTCACTCTGCTGCTGCATGAGAGTGGCCTACAGGGGTCAAGAGACTTTTCTGGAAGACCAGTTAGGAGGCTTCTGTCAAGTGGGAGATCTTGGTGTCTGGACCAGGCTAGTGGGACCAGAGGTAGAGAGCAACGTGGATGGAGTGGGGGGTCAGGTGGAGGTCAGAGGCCATCAACTCTCCCCTTACAGGCATCTGAGGGTTCTGCAGCTCAAGGTTAGTAGCTTTTTCTAGAAAAGACCAAATAGTAAATATTATAGGTTTTGCAGGTGTATAGGAAAGAGTTACCACAGTCAGCGTGATGTTGCTGTCCAAAAGGGCCTGCTGGCAAGAATGGCTCTTGACTGGTGTCTGGGAACTTAGTTAAGGTGTTCCCCCTGGTACTAAGTCACACAGTCGTTTTGAATGTCTGGGGCACTGAATTCTGCTGTGCCAGCCTGCCTGGACTGCTTGTACAAGCAATGCAACTTACAGTGAGCACCTGCTTTCCTTCTGAAGGTCGGGAGTTCTGGGGACTGTGTGATCGACCACATGGCCAGAAAGTATCTGTGCACTTAATAAAACTCCCCATTGGGACACCTGGGTGGCTCAGTCGGTTAAGCGTCTAACTTCAGCTCAGGTCATGATCCCAGGGTCCTGGGATTGAGTCCCACATCGGCCTCTTTGCTCAGTGGGGAGCCTGCTTCTCCCTCTGCCTGCTCTGCCTGCTGCTCACCCTGCTTGTGCTCTCTGACGAATAAATAAATAAATAAAAATTTTAAAAATCCATCCATCCATCCATCCATCCATCCATCCATCCATCCATCCATCCATCTTCCCCATTAAAAACCCAAGTCCTGAGCAATCTCCTCTGGGCAGAAATACTGCCCACATTCTGCTGCATTTTGATGCTGCAAGAAGGAATATGTTCTGTGTGTCTCCTCCTGGCAGAATGCCATGGGAAGCCTATGCATGGATTCCTCCAGACTCTATCTGATGATGGAAATAAACCATATTCAAGAGTGCAACTGCTCTGAGTCCTTTGAGTCCTTCTAGTGAATCACTCAGTGTGTGTGGGGTCTTGGCACCCTCGACACAAGGGGTCATATGGTTTGTCTCAGCTACTCCACACTGTCTCTGAGTTATGCCTCTGGGCAGCTACAAACAATATGTGAAAAAATAAGTAACATGGCTGTGTTCCAATAAGACTTTATTTATTTAAAAAAGGGCAGAGGGTGGAATCTGGTCTGTAAGTCAGTTTGTCAACCCATGTTCACAGAAAATGCAGGATTCTCTGAATCTAGTTTGAAACTGCTGACTGAATTCAACCTTTTCATGTCATTAGTGGGAAAACTGAGACCCAGAAAGGGGAAGAAAGAAGGAAGTTGTCCAAGGTCACTCAGGATCAGCAGCAGAGCCAGAGGAAGACCAGGTCCAGACTGTTGGCCCAATGTGCTGGCCATGACTCCAAGTGGCCATTTCACAGAATAGCCTTGCAGGTAAGTGCTGACCTGGAAGCCAAGATTAGAGGACAGAGATGGCAGGAGACTGGGATGACGAGGGCAGGCAGTGTGAATGGTGGACTGTCTGGCTTCACCTCTGCTCTGTGTGTGGGTGTGAGTTTGTGGTGCATGTGTGTATACATGTAGATAGGGCTCTATGGTCATAGGTGTTGGCTGAATTTTCCCAAACTTTTCTAATCATCAGAATCTTCTCTGCAGCTTTCTAATAATATAGATGTGCAGGTGCCATCCCATACTCCCTGAAATTGTACTTTTAACATGTTCCAAGGTGTTCCGATGATCGTTAGGATTAGAAACTGCAGGTGATGCTCAGAATCTCTTGACTGACCTTGAGGACCAGGATAAAGAAACCCGTGAGTAGAGGAAAGAACAAGAAATCTGTCCTGGGTCAAGAATTTGTGGATCTAACAAAAATGCACAGACCAGTGATTCTGGAAATAGGTTTTCCAAAACTGATTCTCCAACTGAGCCTTTGCCATCCTAGGTTGGAGTTGGTGAGGCCAACAGTCAGGAGCTCATTTCGTTCTTCCTAGGGATTCTGCTTGCAATTCAGGATGCTGCCTCAGGTGCCTGGTGGTGCTTTGAGCCTCGGGGCCCCTCACAGCACAGCAAACTGAGACAGAAATGAGTACACATTGCCACTCCACCATGGACCTTAATCAGTGTAATGAGGTACAGCTGAGCTGCAGTAACTCACCCTCCATAAACCTTTCCATCCAAGTTCTCCTAACAGGGTTGGCTGGAAGACACAGACAGCACACTTGGAATTTCTTGCAGGCTCATCTTCTATGAATGCAGATTCTACATTCTAATGCATGATCCATCTGTGTTTGTTTTAGTAGAAATATGGGTGCTTCTATGTTCATCATGGCATTATTTATAATAGCCAAATTATGGAGGCAGCCCAAGTGTCCATGGATAGGTGAATGGATAAAGAAGATATGGTGTATAGACACAATGGAATATTATTCAGTCATAAAAAAGAATGAAATCTTGCCATTTGTAACAACATTGATGGACCTGAGGTATTATGCTAAAGGAAATTAGAGAAAGACAAATACTATATTTCGCTTATATGTGGAATCTTAAAAAAAAATGAACAAAACAAAATAGAACCAGACTCCTAAATACAGAGAACAATGTGGTGGTTGCTAGAGGGGTAGGTGAAAGAAGGGAAGGGGATTAAGAGGTACAAACTTCCAGTTATAAAATAAATAAGTCACAGGGATACAAGGTACACTATATGGAATATAGTTAATAATATATAACAACTTTGTATGGTGACAGACGGTAGCTAAATTTATCATGGTGATCACCTCGTAACATATAAAAATGCTGAATCACCATGTTGTACACCAGAAACTAATGTAACATTATATATCAACTACACTTCAATCAAAAGAAAAAAACGGATGTCTCCTCATCCATCAAATGTCTTTGAGCACATTATCAGACACACTAGAATTACCTGGTGGCCTTTAGAAGATACTGATACGTAGGACCCACCCCCAGAAAGTTTAATTAAATTGGTCTGGGTTGTGTTCTGGGATTTGGGATTTTTCAAGTTCCCAGGAGCTTCTAACAAGTAGTGAGGCTGAGCACTCCTGGGCCTGCAAGATGTTTGTTTTCATCTCTTGTCTCATGTACCCCCAGGCATACCACCACCACCCACTTAGAGAAGCTTAGGTATAAACAGTCACTACCCTGATGTACAACAGCCAATGCCTTCCTGGAGACAACTAACAGGTGAGCCAATTTTCACCAATTATCTTCTTTCTGTGAGCTACACCCACAAGGAAAATCAATCACCAACACAGACCCAGTTCCTCTGGCTGAGATGCATGGCTGCAGGGATCTGTGATCTTAGGTGGGAGGAAAAAGTGCATTTTTACTTTCACTTACCTCTGAAATTTAGCACTTCTTCAACTATGAATGCAGACAACAAACTATAGTATTGTTAGCAGCAGAAATCCCAGATACTTCCAAATCACAGTATCGGTATCTCCCAAACGTCATTTATGCTCATCACTACTTTGAAACCATGAAAATTATCAGACCTTGGATCTTGCTATTTGATGTATTGATAAACAAGCACATATATTATTACCATGTCACCAATTTGTTTTTTGTTAATGTTAATTATCATTGAAAATTATTACTGTAAGCAGGGGTCCACAGGTTTCCATGTGCTCAGCCAGCTGTTGAGCCCCCCTGGTTAGCCTCAGAGGCCCATGGAGGTCTTCTGAGGGGTGACAGGCAACTGGGCATTGAGCAAGCAGCTCTTACCTGTGGGTCGGAGAGCCGGGAGAGGTCGGGGTACAAGTAGAACTTGATGCCTTCAGAGGCCCCGGGCAACGTGACCCCTCGGATCAGGAGGATCAGAAGCATGACATACGGAAATGTTGCAGTGACGTACACAACCTGCCCAGGGGAGGAGAGGAAAGAATCAAGAAGGGGTGACAGTGGGGGGCCATGTGGCAGGCTCCTAACTTCTGGCCTGGAGCAAAGGACTTCCCAGTGCAGCGAATCATGAAGCCCTGACACGGTTTCTTCTCCCACCTCATCTCTCACCACTGACCCCTCATTCAGTCATTTGTGACTACACCCCACAGAAGGAAATACACAGGATATCAAAATCCCATACACATAGAGCTGAAACAGGATGTTTCACAAAATACTCACTCTTCCATGTGTGATGCACTCAATATTTTCTATCATCTTCTATTTCATTTTTTTTAAAAAGCTGGTCATGACTCTCTAAGTTCAGGTCACAATTCACCAATGGGCCACCATCCACATTTTTGAAAGACACTGCTCTTAATTAAAATCAAGTTTTCACAGCCAAGGATAGGATAGAAAAGTGCAGGAGAGGAGTCAGGGAGGGAAGTTGTCAGGGACAAGAAAGACCCCGTGTATGCCAGGAATCATTTCAGCTTGCTGTACCTGGAGGCAGGTGATTGGACCCAGTGAACCTGGGCAGCCCTTTCAGCCCACAGATTCTGTGCAAGAAGAAAAATCTCCCCTGGGTTTCTTCATACAAGAACTGTTTACAAGGAAACAGCAACACCTTCTAGACTCTGGGAGTTCCTGTCTTGGGGCCACACCTTCTCCTGAGGTCCATGCAGGACTCAGTGTCCCCTCCAGCTCTGATTTTTTCTCCTTTGTCACATTCTCTTCTGTAATAACTTGGTCATATCCTCTCAGTGGGGCCTGCCTGTTCCATCTGTTTAGATCAGCAACTTGTCAACATTTGGGAGCCATGGACACTTCTGAGGATCTGAGGACAGCTACAGACTCTCTGCCCTTCCCCCAAAGGTGCCCAGACACAGATATGTGTCCAGCTTTTGGACTGGTTCAGAGACTCCGATTGCCCCAGTCAAGGACCCACGGTCTTAATTCTTCTAGTGGAAACCTTTCTCAACCCAGGGTTTCTTTTACCAGCGGTCCAGTCCTTCACTCAGTTTGTGCATTTATTCCTTTACTCACTCATCCACCTACTCACTCACTCACTCAGTTACATACCCGAAACACTCCTACATACCAAGCGCTGAGCTAGACTCTGGAATATACAAATGAGAATGAGTCTTGAATGGAAGTTTCTGCTTCAAGAGGCTTCCCCACTGGTAGAAAAGATAGACATGTAGGTAAGTAGACCATGCATTACGTAATCAGGGGGAGTATAAAGGATGGAGGAGCTCAGAGTAACTAATTACAGGGGCACTCAGGAAGGGCTTCTCCAAGGAGGTGATCCAGGTATTGGTCCATAAAGGATAAGCAGAAGTTCAGGACATGGGAAATGGGGACAGAGGGAAGAAGAGAATAAAACCCTGCTAAAATGCCAGTCATTTGACACGTGACAATAGAAATAGCTACATTTAGGGGCACCTAGGTGGCTCAGTTGGTTAAGTGTCTGCCTTTGGCTCAGGTCATGATCCCAGGGTTCTGGGATCGAGCCCGTGGGCTCCCTGCTCAGCAGGGAGCCT